CCCCCCCCCCCCACTGCTTGGGACTAATAAGATGTCCTCAGAGTAGCATCTGGCCACATAATGAACGATTCCTCTGCAGAAATGTTCCCCTGGGAGGCAACTCAGTGGAATGAAAGAAGAGGGAATTTGGAACCAGCAAGACTGAATTTGATACCCATTATACCTTTCATTAGCTGTGTGGCTTTCAAAATTTACTTAAAGACTCTGAGTCTCAATTCAGCATCTGTAGGATGGGTCCGATCATACCCTTCACAGGGCTTTTGTGGAGATGTATTGAAATGGCACAGTAGGACTGGCTGGCCCAGAGTACATGCAGTCCATTTTAGACCTCATCTCCCCTTCTTCACCAGAAGTCTAGCAAATCTTACGTACATTCTGTCAGAAGAAAAGCTTTCTTATTAACAGGCACTCTGATACACTCTGCCACAAATAGAAATCTATAGTATTTACTATGGTGGCTGAAAAACCCAGCAAAGCCCCTTCTAATTATTTTAAACTTAATAATTTATGTCTGGTGTATTTAGCAATTCTCTATTAACCAGCAAATTTAATTAACAAGAAGAACATCTCCAGACATACTACATGATAGATTTTTCTGCATAACGAACCTATTGTTCTGAATTATATTTTATTTTAAAAATCTTCACTAATGGGATCATTTAAAATGGTATCATACACTTCTTGTGAAAGTGCAAACTGCTCCATCCTTTGTGGAACACAATGTACCATATTATACCAGCTGCTATAAGAACATTCGTTTCTTTTTCCCTATAATTATACATCTAAGAATCTAACCTAAAGAAACAGATGCAGACACACAATCATGAACAAATATGTGCACTGCAGCAATATATTGATATAGTGAAATATCATGTGTGGTGGGGAGAACAAATATCCAATATTAACTCTGCGGTTAAATGAAGTATGATATATATAGATCCATACTATAGAATAAAATGCAACCCCTAAAAATGGTGCTTTAAGAAATGATCCATTGTATAGAAGAAATTCTTATAAGTTTGATGTAAACAAACATCATAATTGTTTTCATATAACATTTAAACTGTGAGTTTGACTATAATTAGGTTGGTGTGTCTGCATATAACTATTAAAATTTAACAGCAGATATTTGGGTTATGAGATTATGGGCTCTTTAGTTTCCTATTTTATATATTTTTGTATTTTTCAAGTATTATAATAACCCTTTGCCCAGGAAAAACCATGAATCAGGTGGTATATTATGGGCTTTCACATTCAGTGTCTCACTTAATCCTGACAACAGTCATTGTTCCCATCTTGTGGATAAGCATCATCATTATCATCTGTATCACCATCAACATCAGAGCTAACATTTATAAAACTCATTATACGCTGCATGTTAATCTAAGAACTTTACATAGATTAACTCAATCTTCATAACAAACCTATTGAGGTGATTTTTATTATTTTACTGATGAGGGAACTATTAATATTGAGGTACATACACACATACATACAGCCCAACAACAGAAAATTAGCAAGCACTGAAGTCAGGTCCAAACCCCAGGTTCCTTGCTCTTAACCACTATGCTGTCCTCCTCCTCTATTAATAAGGAAATTAGGATTCGGAGAGGGTGTTGCCTTGCCTGGGGTCACAACTTTGTGGTAACATGGCTGAGCCAGGATTCAAGTCTGAACTAGTCAAGACTCTGCTGTGGTAGCTAATGCCCTGCTATCAGGCAGACAATCAGACTAAAAGCCAGCCAACCATTCCTGACTACTGCCTCTGGTGGATTCAGCTAGCTAAATCAGGCCATACAGAGCCTTGGACCACAAATACCAGGGATCTGTAAGACTCCTAAGTCCCCTAGCATTTGATGATTTAACTATTCCAGTCTTACTTGGACATCTTTCTTACTGAAGACTTACCAGAAACACATACGGGGAATATTGGAAGATTAAGATACTTAGGGAACCCATCTCATTCTACGGGGGTAAAAAGAGTATGTATTTTTGGAGATGGAGGGATAGAAGGGATAGAAAAGCAAAAAAAAAAAAAAAAAAAAAAGAAGACCTGAAGGTGGGTCAGAGGGAAACCCACTCCAAACGCAGACCCCATGCAAATTCTGATCTGTATGATGTATTTACTTATAAACATCAGATGTCCCAGTTCTATAAACTTCAAGTTCTATTCAGACACTCTCCCTCAGAGCCTATTTGAAGAGCTCTCTCCAGAATGAAAAGAACAGTTGTCCAGGTCTGGGAAGAGTTACTTATTACTTGGTAATTAACGTAGCAAATGGCAACACTTTCTAAAACAGCACATTTGATTAGTAGGGGTATCTGGCAAAGGACTGAAATCCAAACATGTCATTACAGTCACTGCAGACACGCCATGTCACTTGGAAAGAACAATATAAAAACACTCTGGTTCTATTTATAAACAGAGTATGACATTGTGATGTAACATATATCAGTAGTCAGATATTTACTAGAAGACAATGTATTCTAACATGACAGAATAAGTGGAAATTTGGTAATATGTTCCAGTAAGCTATAAAACTTTTTAAAATATTTTTACAAAAGGCCTGAATGTGTTTTTATAGACTTATGTTATATAGTATGGTACATAATAAGAGAAAAGGACCCAGACAGGCTTGTCTGAGTTACGATCAGGAAAGCCCTGATATCACCAGTGACTGTACGCTCTGCACTGCATTGCAATTGAAGTGTCTCATTACCAGAACAGTGAACAGTATTATGTGGCATGATCTGCTCTTTTCCTACCACACTGTTTATTCCTGTCAGGCTCCTGATTTCTTAATATATTTTCAATTTTCTCCCTCATCCCTAAAGTCTCCTATTTTATGTAGTCATCAGAACCTTCCAAACATCTATGAGAAAGACTCATTCTTTCCAAAAACCTTGGCATCATGTCCAGTGCTCACTCGGGCTGCAATTTAGCATTAGCAATTTTCTAATGTACCATAAAGTCATCAGCTCAAGCTCACCTCTGATGTAATAGTCCTCAGCTGAAAGAGCCAGGTCCACTTCATCTCCCCCTGCATTGATGGCAGTATTAACACTCATTAGAATGTATTAGCACGTTCAGGGCCATATAGTAATTCAGTCCCCCAGGAGTCTTACTCAAGCCAACAACATTGCTCATCTTATCTGAGTACTTCAGATACATTCATCCAACTAAGGAAACAAACTCATAATGGCCTCTGGGAATACATGAGAGCAATGTTTATTCTCACTGTGTCCAGATACCAGGGAAACTATAGATAGTCCAAGGGCCACTTGGAGTTCGTTCCCTCAAACATTTCCAAATTTCCCGGTAAAAGATCTTTCCTAGCCCATCCTACGTGAACACCATCATGCTTCTAGTCACAATGCCTCACCAACATTTAATGAGCATCTCCAATGTGCCCAGAATGGTGCTTTACTTACAGTATTTCTTTGAAACCACAAATAACCTAAAAAGAGACTCAAAAGCTCACTTTACAGAGAAAAAACCTGAAGCAAAGAGAAATTAAGTCACAGTTTCTGCCAACAAAGAACAGAGTCCACAGAAAGCACCTATGCCAATTCCCTGTCTCCAGAGCTGACCACAACTAAGCCACACCACACAGACTCCAACTGAACTCTGACCCTCCTTCTCAAAAGAAAACAAAAACAAAAACATGTCCATGGTATAAGGAAATGAGCACTATACGGAGGGTCGTGAGACTATGTTATAGTCCTGGCTATGCCACCATCACCACCAAGCTGGAAAATTTAGAACTGGAATGGTTATCTCTCTGGGCCTCAGTCTTCTAAGAGGCAAAATGAAGAAGGGTACATGGGGGAAGGTGGGAAGGAGGAGGAATTAGAAAATCTCTGAGGCCTCCCTCTTCGAAGGGAATTATCTGCTAAGGTAAGAAATGATGTTTCCATACTCACCACTCAGGAAGTTAACTCTCCAACAATGAGTTCCCTTCTTCTTAAGTTATTGTTTACATAAGGCTTTCCACATAACATTGCACTGGATAGCTAATATACCTCTCATCTAATCCTTACAAAAATCCTGCAAGATACATACTATACTCCTTTTGCATACTACGGAGTAGAGGCCCTGTCAGTGTTAAGTAATTTGTTTTACAGACACTGAGCTAGGAATCAGAAGAACCAGGGCTCAAACCCAGGTTTATCTGACTCCAGAACCTGCATTCTTTCTAACTATGTTGTACTACTCGGCCTTGGATGGACCAATGTGGAATGCTTTTACCTAACTTTAACTGTCATGGCATCTGCTTAAGTTTCTAAACAAGGGAGACTCCATATTTTAAAATAACTCTAGGTGGAGGGAATTTGAAACTTGTTCAATTAGAATCTAAGCCTCAAATATACTTGTGAACTAACTGGCTTTTCTCGAAAAGAACGTCTAGCAATTTTAGAGAAAGCATTTCAACCAAGAAGCACTTAAAGTTGTTGCTTTTGAAAGATCCAGAAAGTAAAACCAGGGGAAAGAGAATAGGGATGGACTATGAAATGACTGACCTGCCGAAAAAAAAATCTACAGTTGGAGACAGCAGAATTATAATCTTGACATTAGTCCCATACGGGTTATTACTCTTGATATCATTATAGCCAAATGGAACGAAAATGGAAGGGGGAGAAAAATCTCAGTGGGTATTGCAATTTAAATTTGCCATGTAAGCTAATACTGTATATTTAGAGACTGAGCAGACAGGGTGGTTGGTGGCTCCGAGTATGTGCAGGAGTTGCTGTGCCAGCTAACCAAAGCAGACATTCATTAGAGCAAAATGTAGATTTCCATTTCTTGGCATCTGACATGGGCTCTTTCCTTGGAAAGAAATGTCAATTTGGCCAAAAGTGTCAAACCTACAATAAAAGCATTGGGACCGTGGATTTCATCTAGTCTGCACATTCCCACCCCTTTCTTTCCTACTGTGGAAATCCAGTGGCGACTTGGGGTGCTGAGTGGAGAGGTGACAGGGGAACTGATTAGGACACAGACGCTGAAAAGGAGGGTAAGGAGCTGGGGGAGGGGAAATTGGACTCCCAAATTCTCTATTTTCTTTTGGCTTTCAATTACCTTTTTCTCTTGCCTTAAAACTGCCCAACACAAGAAACCAACCACAATTGCTGTTTTGCACAGGGCCTGAAAAATGGCAGCTTCCAAACCCTTGGTAATGCCTGCTAGTTGTGCAAGTATTGGGTGCTCATCCACACAGTCTGTGGGTAGTATGAGCAAAACTCAGCTCCCGAGGCAGTGCAGGGAAGAGGCCTCCCCTACTTGAAAATTTTACTCTGTTTGTTTCTTTTGTTCAATAGACTGGAAAGACTATGACGACAGAGCGCCTAGACACAAGGGACAGAGTGAAGTTTTGGAAGGTCTGCTGCAGCAGGTCCGAGCCCTTCATCAGCATTATAGTTGCCGGGGTAAGGATAAAAATCTGTGCTGGGCCATCGACTGAGGTCTCGGTGGCGCCGGTAATTTTAGCAGTTTCCTAACTGGGTCATACCTTCTCATTCATCAGGGAGGGAGAGAGATATTAATATTTGTACATCTGGAATCACTTTACAGCACTATCTTACTTTAACCCTTCAGAAGAGACTTCCCTCTCCCTTCCTTCCCTTCCTCTTTCTTTTGCACCCTCACTCCACAGGAGCAGTTTGAAAACAAGCACAGGAAAAAGTGCAGCTGCCATTAGTTCCCTTCCCTTTAAATTGTACCTTCACAAAACTTCTCCGTGTGCTGAGTCTTCGGGATATTCACCCTCAAACTTTTCACCTGCAACAAAAGTTCTGTGAACATCCCTGAGGAAGCACAACCAATTATAACAGCAACGATAATATTAAACTTCTGTGTATATTTATTATAAAATTTACATACAATTCACAGCCAATATCTCTTTTTCATCCTCATTTTGGCAATTATCACTGAGGCTAAGTGACTTGACCAAGGTCACAATGCCAAGAAGAGACAGAATCAAGATACCAACGTAGGTTTTCTGTCTCCAAGCCAGTCTTCCTGCCACACCTCGTTTTTGTCTCCCACCCTTACATCAGTACAGGGCACTGGATTTTAATCTCACCCTGGATTTTAATCTTCCCCTATACTACTGCTCAAGAGGAAATAGAGCATAAGTTCTCTAGACCTAGCCAACTACACCCAGAAAGTCTCTGAGAAGCTTTAAAAAAATTATTTTCTACTTGGGCTGTTCAAATGGGACAGGGTCAGGTTTCTGATCTGTGTAATGATTCGTGGAGCAGGCACTTAGTTTTATTTGGAGAATTAAATTTCCATAAAGTTTTCATTTTCCATGCTCCTTCACCCATCACATCTCTAACTGCATTGTACTCTCTAGATTCAGGGCACTGCAGGACCAGCTAGGTTAATAATCTGTGGTTGAAACTAAGAAATGCTAAATGAGTTTTGACTAGGTGTAAAGAAATCATACTTAGCATTAGCAAAAAGTTGTTCCCAATTGCTGTATATCTATGACAACAGAGCCCTTCAGAAATGTTGGCTATAGCTAGAAATGAGGGCAACTGTTTGCAAGAAAGTAATGTTCTAATGAGTGGTTGGTTCATTAGGAGATGTAAATATGCATGGAAGAGGCTTAAGAAGGAAACCCAAGTGGGATTTCATTCTCGGATCTCTAGGAAAACTTTACCCAGACTAAGGCCTTCAACACTCCACACCGACCAAAGTACACTCAGTTCTCAGTTAACCAGGGCCCATTTAACCAGGACAGGCATTATCTAGGCTCCTTTCTCTTCTTCTGCCTCTCCATCATTTCCCTGCCCATTGGTTCCTGCATGGCAGGCTAAAACAATGAAGCAATTGGATAGATTATTCTCTGCAATTCATAAGCCACTTTGTGTTTGGTCTTTATCAGAGGGGGAAAGCTAAAACTACTCATGAGAATGAGGGATTATTTTTTATATTATCTGAGGATTTAGATGTTCTCTCCATTACTACTGGATTACATTCCAATAATCAAGAAATGATTGTCTAGACAGCCCAATTATTTCTACGGTTTCCATCCAACTTTTATCATGTACCTATTTTCACCCCACAGGGATGTAAATACACACACAGTATCAAGAAAGATTTAAGTAAGTCATAAGGTAGAACTTCCCAAAAGGGAGGAATATTTTTATGTTGAAACGTATATTTAAACAGTACCCAAAGTGTGTTCCACATAAGAGTGGTTCTATAAGATGCTCAGCTGAAAAAGGGTCTCTAGTCAAGTGTATTTGGAAATTGTTACATTATATATCCCTCTCTTGGAAATGTAAAATAGACATTAAAATATTAAAGACTCTAATAAAAAGAAATTTTGAATTTGGTTAAGCAAGCATTTTCCAAACTTACCTGGCCACTGTAAAACAGTTTTTACAGAATTAGTGTTCCAAGCCACAAAATTTGGGGAACACTGACCTATAATATGCCAGGATAAAAGAAATGACCGTCCGAGATGATACAACATAAATCTCTCTAAATCTAAAAGGATAAATTAAGGATAATTAGGTACTGCATACAGAAAACTACAAAATTGTTATTTAAAATAAACTATATTGATACTACGTGGTTTACAAATTTTATAATTAGAGAAAACAATTATTTCAAACCCCAGTTCACCCACTTACTGGGTGTACTTAAGAAAAGCATTTAACTTCTCTAAGCCGTAGCTTCCCTAACAGAAAAAAAAACAGCATAATAATATGTATCTTTCATGACTCTTACAAGAATTAAATTAGATAATGTATTTAACTCATCTGGCACGAGTAGGCACTTTGCAAACTCTAGCTTATTTTTTTTTCATTGTTCTTCCAAATGAAGAATGAGATGCTCTCCATCCTCAGCATTTTATATGTCCTAGAATTAAAGTATAATCACTGACTCCATTGTAATGAGCCTGGAGTACTCAATAGATACACAGCATGTTCTAAATGCAGAACTAATAATAAAACATCCCTTCTCCTACCAAAGCCCTGCATGGGAGATACCAAAACCCACATTAATTTCTCTATTTTTGGCTAAAAAACTGGCCACAGCTAATTTGCATCTTTAGTACTGGGACGGAAATTCAATGGAGATGTTGAGTGGCCTTTATTGTCCACAGGGTTGATGCCCTGACATACATAATGAATTATAAAGAAGTCAACTGTGTTCGCTGAAGCAGTCCCCTACAGGAGTGAATTTCAATTATCATCCACTTTTTCAATTGGCAAACATTAACTGAAACACTGTCTCCTATGTGTTAGGTGCGAGACATACCAGTATGAATAACATAAGCTCTCTATGCTCCAAGCACTTAAAAATTAAAGATCTGCTTCATTCAGAGTCCAGAAAACTAACCATTGCTCCAGAGCCCTGAACTAAGCAGAGACAGAATAGAAGCCACAGTGGTTCTTAGGAGAAAAGTGAGTTTAGACCTTGTATCAGTCAAGATAGGCTATATCATGCTGTAGTATCCACATGACCCCCCAAATATTTATTTCTCCCACATGCTATAGGTCTCCCACTGGTTGCCTGAGGGCTGGCTGTCCTTCTGTCTTGTCATGATCCTCTTTCTGGAAATATATTTCAGCACCCATGGGAGAAGGAAAAGAGACTCTTGAAGGTGTCTTGTGGACAAGACTTTATCATTTACACTCAAAATTCACTGGTAAAACTGGTCACATGGCCCCAACCCAACCACAAGAGCTCCAAAAGTACAATTGTATTGCTCCACGCGCCCAAACTGGAGGAGACCTGGAATACTGGACATTTTCATGGGCCCCTTTCCCAGCTGGTAGTAGCATTTCTCATTTTTCTCTTTTCTTAGTCTAATTTTTTTAGTTTAGTTTTCATTTTTATTTAAGTTATATGTGACTATACGCTGAAGCCAGATTATGTGGGTTCAAATACAGGCTAGACATTTACAGATCTGCATGACCTTAAGCAAGTTGCCAGCTTCTCTATACCTCACTTTGCTCACTCGTAAAATGCAGATAAGAATTATATAAACCTGTCAGCCATCTGAGGACTGAATTACTTAAAATAAGTAAAGCACTACGAAGAACTTTATTATGAACGAAAAAACAATTTCTCCCATCCTCCATTTTCTATTCCCTAGAGGCGCAATTATTTTGATATTCTCTCCATATCTCTAAATAACAGGCTTATATTGCTAATTCTTGATTTTTAAAAAAATATACAAAGTAGAATTGGTCCTTCATTAAAATGATTTGTATATTAAATATATATATATATATAGTTATTATCTCACTAAGGAAGATGATTATTTCTCTCTTTTTTATCCCTCTACCCTCTTATACGTACATGTAATTCCTACTCCCTCATCCTCCTAATATAGTCATTTTAATAAGATCAATATTTATTGCTAACATTATAATGATCATATAAATTTTATGATTATTTTCCTTTCCTGGATAACTTGTTTCCCCTGTAGATAATAATCAACTTTTATTACATGTGTTTTTATTTTTCCATGTGGTTATAACCAATTAATCCTCAAGCTATTCTCCAGCTCTATCAATTTTCTCTCAATACAATCAGATACATAAGTATTGTTTCAGATGGCATCTTCTTAAAGAAACCTCTCATAGAGCCCTCTGACCTGCTCCAATCTAGCCTGGTTACTGGCTGCCTCTGTGTCTGTGACTTACTGGCACCCTAGGATCTCCTTTCACCACCACATTGAGGACTCTTCTTGCCACTCTCCAATACTGGATTTCTTCTTTTTTGTTTACCATCTCTTTCTTTTTCTGGGGTTTGTCTGCCATTGGTGGGAGCCTTTCCTCTGGTAGCTTCCTGTCAGGACACTTGGGAGCTAATTTTTGGATACATTAAGTGTCTTAAGATGTATTTATTCTATTTAATATTTATTTAGGATAAATAAGAATAAGTATAGAAGTACATAAGTATAGTATTCCCAATTGAAATAATTTTCCTTCATATTTTGGAGGTGTTGCTTCATGGCCTTCAAGCTTTCAGTGCTGAAAAGTCTGATACCATTCTGATTCCAGAAGTCTTATATGAAATCTACTTTTTCCTACCCTGGAAGGTTTTAAGTTTTCTTTTTACCTTCAGTATTCTAAAATTTCACTGTTATGTACCTTCATGTGGCTCTATTTTTGTCTGTTGTGCTGCACATTTGGCAAGCTCTTTCAATACAGAAACTTACAGCCTTCAAGTATGGGGTGTTTTCTTAAATTATTTCTTTAATTATTTCTTCCCCTCCTTTTGCTCTGCTCTCTCCTATGAGAACTCTTATTCAGATACTGAACCTCATGGACTAGCTCTTTAGATTCCCCCCCCTACTTTCCATCCTCATGCCTCTTTGCTCCACTTCCTTGCAGATTTCCCCAATTTTATTTTCTATTTGGTTTTTCAGACTTTGATAACATATTTTTAATTTCCAATGTTCTCTATTGTTCCCTGAATATTTCTCTTACAGACCTTTATCTTTTTTACAAGGACGCAATGTCTTTGCTTGTCTCTCAGGCTATTAATGATAGGCTTTGTTTCGTTTTATGCTTTCTTCTCTCAACATGGTCTCCCCTCTAAACTGCTTTTGTTTGGTTTTGGCCTGTGTTGTTTCTGTTACATGCTTTTCAAACTGCCTAGTGATCCTTGGATGTGTACTCAGATTTAAGAGAAGAGAACTCAGTAGCTGTTGGGAAGCTCTGAGCACATGGATAGGGCTCCTTACTTATACAGATCACCGTAGGGTGATCTGGCATGGCCTTATCTTTAGGAAAGCAGTAAAGCCAATGTCAGAATCTTTAGGTGTACTCTTAGGCTAATCAGAGTCTCCAGAGATGCCTCTTCCAGTGTTCTGCCTGGAGAATATAAATTTGAGTACCATTGTTCCAAGAGTCCAGTGGGGAAATATTCTGTATGGAAACTTTCACTTAATCCACCTGTTTTGAGTACATACCACTCCCTCCCTCCATTTTTTAACCATACACCATATCTTTCACTCTAAATATCTCTGTTTTTATGCTTTCCAGAGAATATGCTACTAGCTTTCTTCTAGAGTGGGGAAAGGGTGGGAGAGGATATTTAGAAGTCTACTTTTTCAACAGATTTCAACAAAACCCCCTGATTTTAGCTCCACATTCACCACTCTTCCAGCAGTATATGGTGCCCATGGGTGAGTCAGGTTACTTCTCAGCTTTCTCAGGTCTGCTAAATCCCTCTGTCCATCTGCTTTCTAGCTACCAAAATTCACGTGTTTTTGTCTCCTTTCCCATCGCTTTGTCTTGACAGATTTATGTCACTTCCTCTTTTGTAAATCTCTTTACTCTGCTTTTGGTAAGATTTTGGGAGAGAGTAGTATGTGATAAATAAGTTCAATATGCTGCCTTTAATCAGAAGTCCCAGCAGCATTATTTTCAAGTAGAATATAACCAGCAAAATACATGTTCAAGTTAGAAAAAAATGCTTTTACTTTGCTCTGCCAGGAATAACCATTACCAACACAAGCTTGAAGCTGGCATGAATGCTTGTGTCAATCAGCTCATTCCCAACTGCTCCTATAGGATCATGGGCAGAGCCACACTGGGCCTCAGCCATGGGCCATCCGCCCAGGTTTCCATGTCTAACAGCAGTGATATGGACCACGTTCTCAGCCCCAGTAACATGTCTGTCAGGAGTTTGGTGATGACCCCAATAACCTCAGCTTCCCTTCATTAATTACATTTAAGATGAGAATTTAATCAGTGATCATCTAGTTCAGCTCTAGGGAGCACAGTCTGCAAAGACTGCTACAGGAAATCTACTACTTTTATCAGTGAGAGCTCCAGTTGTAAATAAAAGAGCTAAACAGAAGCAATGGATGATTTGTTCATCACTGTAACCGTAGAACCTAACATATAGTAGTGTACCAATAAATATTTATTCAGTGAACAAATGCTTGTTTTTCTGGGTACTGCCTTTTTTATCTTGGACAATCCACTTAACCTCTCTGTCTCAGTTTCTTCTTCCGAATAACAAGGATAATCATACCTATGCCTACAACTATTTTTGTAAGCCAACATACACACTGGAAAAAAACTACCCCAGAATGCTAGCAGTGGTTCTACTAACGTGGCAGCATGATATGTGTGGGATTTTGTTCTTTTTTTCTATGCTCCAGACTTCCTGCAATGTGCCTATATTAATTTTATAATGAAAAAAATGTTAATGGAATATGCAGACTAACAAGAAGAGCTTTGCCAACGTTGAGAAGTATGTGACTATTAAAAGGCAATGGGAGCTGGGGACAAAAGTTGATCTCGTTTCTTCATATCCCACCTCATAATAAATAAGAATATAAACAGAACACCTAAGTGACTTCACCTGGAGTTATAAATGTTAATCATTTCCAACAGTTTTGAGGAACTGTTCATTAATTAACTACTGGCATCTCAAGATACAAAAGCATCTTGACGGAATGAATGAGCTGAATCCCTACATGAAACTGAGTATAAGTGACACTGAAGGGACAGGAGACAGAAAGGCAAAAAGGTGGGAAGAAGGCACTGAGAGTGTCGTTCTTCCAGTGGAATTTACACTGTATTTTTCTCTTCTGTGTTCCAGAAAGTTCAAAATTACAAACCACGGGCCGCAAGCAGTCAGTCTCTAGGAGCCTGAAACACCTATTCCATTCCTCAAACAAGTTTGTGAAGACCTTGAAACGGTGGGTCCTATGTAGGTTTTCCAGGAAGTCTTAGCTTCTCAGGAGTCCTGCTGCTTTTGGTTCTGAGTGGAAACTTGGTAGAAATTTCTTTTTTTTATTATTAAGACAGTACAAAATTCACTTTTCTTCTGAAAATTTGGACAAGATAGCCAATAAATTTGTGGTATTTAAGAATATGCTCATAGGTATATTTTAAATTATCTTTTATCATGTCCAAAAATATTTTTTCCATGACCCAGGCTTGGAGGAGAAGATGATTGAGGACAACTTTTATTTTGCTTTTTCTTTCTAGGGGACTCTACATAGCTGTTATATTTTATTACAAAGACAATATGTTAGTCACCAATGAAGATCAAATACCGATTGCTGAAATAGATGACTCTCACACCAGTTCCATTGCACAAGATTTTCTGTGGTTCACAAAGGTATCCTGAGTTCTAATTTTATTCTTCCCCACTTTGCACCAACAGTCTGTGCGTAAATCTCTGAAACTTTAGTTGAGGGGTTGAGGGGTCTCCAGTGATCAAAATGTTGGGGTGGGAGTAAATTATCTCAAAGGTCTCTTTCAGCCCTGATTTGCCCTATGTCGTTAAGAATGCCAAAATAGTATCTACACTACATTTTCAAAGCAAAGAAGCTTCCATCCTGTCAGATTGTGTCTCCACTATTCTGAGTTATGGGATCATTTGGCAAAGACTAAAATGTGAATCTGATTGTTTCATTAACATTCAGATCTTTGTCCAGTTGGACAGAGATCAAAAAGTTGTTTTGCATGCATCTGAAAATGGACTGGAGAACAAACATCAAGGGTCACGTTTCCTTCTCCCTACATTGCTTTGATGCCACAACCTAAATCATATACTGGCTTGGACGATGATATGACTTCGTGACTTCTTTTGCAGCTGTCTTGTATGTGGGAAGATATAAGGTGGTTGAGGCAGAGCACACCTATCTCGATGTCCTCATCCACAGTACTACAAACTCGGCAGAAGATGCTTGCAGCAACAGCCCAGTTACAGGTGAGGGGCCAGGTTTCAACCCAGACCTCCAAGGAAATTTTAGAAAAACATGGCAGTTCAGTTACCAATCCTACCTGGAAAGGATATATGAAGTCTTCTTGGACAGTTTGAGCTGCACACCTGCCTTTGTAGGGAACCTGTGCTTTTGGCAGTCTCCTGGAAGGAGGAACAGGGGTCTCACCTGAAGAGTCTAGGTGTGAACAAGGAGTAAAGAGACTTGAATTCTGGATTTGATGTTCATCGGTCAACTCATTTCTCCTTTCTGGGTATGAGTTTCATCACTTGCAAAATAAGAGGTTGACTAGCTCTCTTGAAGACCTCTTGATGCTCTGGCATCCTGCGCATCTATGAGTATATGGAGATAGAGAAGGAGACCCCCAGATATTTTAAGGAGTTTCTTGGCTTGATGCTTATGGCATCAATGATGCAAAGGCATTTGCATACATGTTTGATAATTAAAAAAAAAAAAAAACTTCTTAAAAGCTTACCTTTAATTCTGAATTTAATCCTTCTGTACTATTAACCCAATCAGATCAGGTCCCCAAGCCCTGCTAGAATCTTTGTAGGTTACAGAGCCCCTTCTAGAAATGATATTGAATTCTAACCAGTCTCTTCTGGGTTTCCCTTTCATTGTTTTTTGTTTTGTTTTGTTTTGATATCTGAATTTGTGCTTCTTAGCACAAAAAGACATCTGCAACATAGAACGGGGGCCTTTAAGACATCGATGAGCCTTGATCAGTGATGGGTATCTACCTACAAAGCTGTCAGTTACATCAACCCCAGAAATACACATAACAGGAATCTACATAAGCTGTGTTCGGCCAGGCCATACCAGCCGAAGCATAAAAATAGAGTCATAATAAGAAAAAAGATTTTCTACAGTTCCACCCCCACCTGCAACTACACGAATTTCATTTCTTGACCCATGCAATAATTTGAGCCCTTGCAATAATAATAATTACTGTCTTGCTATTATAATAAATTCTGAAAGGTAACCCTTAAACCTCCTGTTCTATACTCCATTGCACAGGCGGTATATTGCCTTTTTTTTTTTTTTTTTTTTTGCGGTATGCAGGCCTCTCACCGCTGTGGCCTCTCCCGTTGCGGAGCACAGGCTCCGGACGCGCAGGCCCAGCGTCCACGGCTCATGGGCCCAACCGCTCCGCGGCATGTGGGATCCTCCCAGACCGGGGCACGAACCCGCACCCCCCACATCGGCAGGCGGACTCCCAACCACTGCGCCACCAGGGAAGCCCGGTATATTGCCTTTTGTCCTCAGTAAGATTTAAAAAAAAACGTGCTCTCCATTTCAACTCACTCTTGGTTACAGAATCTTCTCCTTCAACTCAAGAAGTTCTTGGAGCTGGGCCATGACTGTGCTGAATTCAAAGAGCCTCTTCCTTTCATCACTGACCAGCTCGAGCTGGATCAAGTCACTATACCTCAAAAACACCTCTTTCTCTAGGATAAACTTCATTCCCAGTAGGCTCCTTGGTCCCTTAGTAAAGTTCTTTCCCAGGAGTCCTTAATGGACCCTCCCATTAGCCCACCATACAGCCCAGACGTGCTTAGATCACAGACTGAACAACTTCAGAATTTCAAACGGGGCTCTTTATTTTATGTTTATTAGAGGCTTCCTAGAACACCTTCATCTGATATCAGTAACATGAGAAGGGTTAGGCTGCCACAAGCCATTGCAGTTAAACACTGAGGGGCTAGAGGGAAGCCATGAAGGTCAGTGTGCCCTACTCAACTATTACTTCCATTGCAACAGCTCTTGGATTTGGCCCCCCAAGGTACTGACCCCCATCACTTTTCATAATGCATCAGCCCCCTTCTGAGGTCATTTTCCTCCTTGTCTAGCTTAGATTACTTAGCCCATCATAATCACTCCCTTGAAAATCCTCTAAATTTCTGGCCACTGTCTCCCTCCATATCATCTATTTGGAAAAAAATCCAAGCCTAGATGAATCCAACATGTCTACACTAGAGTAGTTGCACACTGCTGCAGAAAAAGCATCACTGAAAAGGGGGGGGGGGGGAGGTATGATTGGTTTTATGTTAAATTCACGACTACAATTCTCACATGTAAGGTTACCTTGTGATCACATTCCATTTCTCTACTAAATTCACTTACCCAAATTACGAGGCAACTATTTAAAACCTTCTCCATTCTACCACATCTCTTTCCCCTTCCCCACATTCTCCATCCCCACATCAGGTGACACTTTACTGTATAACTCATTAAGAAAATAAATGGGAAATAATTCTTTTTCCACTGCCAAATTGAAAAGCCTCCTTGCACTGATGCTACTTTCTCTTCCTCCCGCCCCCCATTCCAACAGATAAAGCCTCACTCCTCCTACCAAAGGCTCATCCCTCACATGTGCTCTGGATCTCAGTTCTTCACTCCCTCCTTCAGCTACCAATCTCTCTTCTCTTCCTTAGAACCAAACTTCCTGAAAGAGTGGCCAACATTCTCCTTTTCCATTTACTTCCTCACTTCCCATTTAGTTCTAAGCTCTTTCCATGACTTTTGCTACCACCATGCCTACCAAACTGCTCTCTCAGGCCACCAATAATCAGAGGCAGATGATGCTCATAAAGCTTGAGCTTCGAGGCCCCTCACTTGCATGATCCCGTGAGTGTGGGAGTCGTGGAGTGCTTAGGGAGGGGAAGTTGGGTTACAATCTTTGTGATAAACTGCCTAAAGAAACCCAGGCAGGAGGGAAAGGGGATCAGAAATTCCAAATACTCCAGTATTTGGGGAGATTTTCTTTCTCAGTCTAAATATTCACTTTTATTTTTTTAAAATTCACTTTTATACCTAACTTTCATATTTGTAATTTTGTATTCTTTATCTTAAAGAGGACCCCAAAATTGTGTGGTACAGGCCCCTACAAAACCTGGATCCATCCCTGCCAATGACTTCAGTTTCACTATATCCAACTGACACTTTTAAAACCTCTTTGCAACTGACATCTCAGCAGCATTTGAAACACTTGGTCCTGCTCTCCTTTTTTAAACTGCCACATCCCTTGGCTTCCATGACTCTATACTTTCCAGATTTTTCCAACTTCCTGGCCTGTCTTTCTCAGTCTCCTCTGCTATAGCTTAAATGCTGTTTCCTCTGCTTAGAATCCTCTTCTACTTCTCTGTCTCACCAATTCCTACATATCCTTCAGATCTCACCTTCATTTTTATACTTCCTCAGGGAGCCTTTCTCTGATCTCCCAATTAAGTGAATCACTCACATAGCACCTTGCATTCTTCATTCAGAATGGTGATCATAATACCATTAGTTAATTATCTGTATCATTATCTGGCCACTGACCAACTTGGACGGTGAGTCCCTGAGCTCAGGGAATGTATCTGCCTTGGTTACCACTATATCCCCCATGTGTGGCATGTGGCAGATCATCCATAAGTACTGGCTGGATAAATAAATGTATTTATCAGTCCAACCCCTGTACCCCTAAGATCACACTTGAGGGTACGCTATCTAACCAAAGGGAAAAGGGATCACAGAAACGTACCTCATGCCATAGTTACCACCTGGAGAGCTCTCCAGCCCTGCACAGTGACCAGTGCCTCGTAGTACTTAATAGTTACCCCTTTCAGTGCCCATCAAAGGTCAGAGCACCACCTGCCTAAACAATAGGATTCACTTTCATCTTTTTTTGTAATACCTATTGCCCAAACTCCTTGCTGACCTTTAGAATGAAAATGTCTAGAAATACTGAAGCCACTCTTTTTTTGGGGGGGGGT